AAATCACAATTATTAACATATTTTAATAGTTTATACAATTAGTCATAAACTGTTTTACCAGTTGGTATTACTTTATTTTAATTTGATTTAATTTTTCTATTACTTTCCTATTAAAACTAATAGAAGTTTTGTATAATAAATTATTAATTAATTTAATTTTAAATAACAATGTGTCTACTTAAATAATTTTACAATAGATAATTTTTTAAAAATATAATTACTAAATGGGGTTAGTAGTTGTCCGTCTTACCTCCAAAAAATTAAGAGAAAATATGAAAAAAATTCATACTTTGAAAATAAGATAATTTAGTGTTTTTCAATAAAAATTTATTAAAATAACATAATTTTAAGATGATTTTTTATCTAATCTTTAAGAAAGAAGGCTAATAAGCATTATTTCTTTACTAAATACTAAAATATTTTTCATAATAATATAACACAATACTTTTAACAACTACAATTATAAAACAGTATCAAACAACATTGTTAAATTAAGTTTAAAAAAAAATTCACTAATTTTTCTCTTTCATTAATGGGCACTACATTCTGTTCAACCATTCATAACACGGCATGACGTCTTCAAGCAACACCTTGCAAGAATGCAAGAGAAAACACCTTGCAAGAATCTTTAAAGATAAAGACAAGGAAGCAATTTGTCTCCACACATAACACGCGTGGTCCTTAGGAAGACTTGACATATCGATTCGCTTAGTCCACTTTTCACCGGAGAAACCAAAAAGATGAAGGAAGCAGTGCTTATATTCATTCCATTCCCAATAATCGGCCACTTGGTCTCCACCGTAGAATTTGCAAGGCGCCTAATCCGTCAAGATGATCGGATCTCCGTCACCGTTCTTTCCTTGAACCCTCCCTTATATTTTTCCCTTGATGCATACACCAAATCCATTTCTGCCCTGGAACCTAGCATCTGCTTCGTCGACCTTCCTCCGGTGGACCTTCCTTCATCGGACCAACCAGACGTGGCCCCGGAAGCCTTGGCATATTACTACATCGAGAGCCAAATACCCCATGTCAAGAACTTCATATCATCCTTCCCTGTCTCGGGTCCATCCCGGGTCGTCGGGTTAGTTCTTGATTTCTTTTGTGCTCCCATGATTGATGTTGGAAATGAATTGGACCTTCCTTCCTATATGTTCTTTACGTCAAATGCAGGATTCTTGGGTTTGATGTTGCACCTACCGACTAGACATGAACAGAACAGTGCTGAGTTCGAAAGAACAGATCCGGTATCCTTGATTCCGGGTTTTGTCTCCCCTGTCCCTGTTAGTGTTCTGCCTGTATGCCTGTTTAACAAGTTTGGAGGTTATACTGCTTTGGTCAAGCTTGCTCAAAGATTCAAGGACACCAAAGGGATTATAGTTAACACATTTGAAGAGTTGGAGCTCAACGCAGTAAGATATTTTACCAACAGCCAAATTCATGGGCAAAACCCGCCAATCTACCCAGTTGGACCAGTACTTGACCTCAACGGAAAGCCTAACCCTGACATTAACGTAGCTCAACGTGACAAGGTTATCGAATGGCTCAATGATCAGCCTCAAGCGTCGGTGGTTTTCCTCTGTTTTGGGACCTTTGGGAGCTTTGGGAGCTTTGAAGCACCCCAAGCGAGGGAAATAGCGGTTGCACTGGAGCAGAGTGGGTACAGGTTCTTATGGTCTCTGCGCCTGTCACAACCAGGAGACAAAGATCCCTCTGGAAATACCCACTACAAGAATCCAGAAGATGTGCTACCGGAAGGATTCTTGGAGAGGATAGAAGGGAGAGGGATGGTATGCGGGTGGGCGCCGCAAGTGGAGGTGCTAGCTCACAAGGCCATAGGAGGGTTTGTATCTCACTGCGGGTGGAACTCGATTCTAGAGAGCTTGTGGTTTGGAGTTCCGATTGTGACATGGCCTATGTATGCTGAACAACAACTTAATGCGTTCGAGATGGTGAAGGAATTGGGATTAGCGGTGGAGATGAGATTGGATTACAGCATAAATAGTGGTCTTGTGAAGGCAGAGGAAATAGAGAAAGCCCTGCATGGTGTAATGGATGGTAGTAGTGAAGTGAGGAAGAAAGTGAAGGCAATGTCAGTCATGGCTAAGAAGGCCATTAAGGATGGTGGATCGTCATTCCTTTCAATTGCACGTTTTATAGGGGATATGATGGGAAAAACTGCTGATATTTGATTGCTTTGAATCTGATCTTTTCTAAATTGTTGCTTTCCTCTCAAACATGATCTTTTCTAAATTTGAAGAGGGAAAGAACAAAGAAAATGAATGTGTGCTTTTTAAAAAAAAAAAAACAGCTAAATGAATAAGTGTGCTAGTTTGCGTTCATTGCCCTCTCTGCATTTGTCTTGTACTTGTACCCAACTATCCATGTGCGCAAATTTCAGATTTTGATCCCTTTATTAGAGTCTCTAATTACTAGCAAGGGAATTGTCCATACAAAAAAGTGTTCCACAATTGGACTATGTACACAACTCAAACCATTAAATGAGTGAACCCTTGATATTGGAAGTCGTCTCTCATCCAAGAAGTTTATTTTACAATCGACATAAATTAAATTACAAAATAAGATTCTTTTATCCATAAATGACACATAATTCTATTACATATATGTCTTTTCTAGTCATACTAACTAAAAAAGATACTAGTCAAGGCTAGAAGAGAGAAAATAAGTGAAAATGCTCTAAATGAATTTGGTTTACTAACATTTCCAAACCATACTGCTTCATGTAACTCGGTTCAAAATCAAGGACAAACAAGTAGTGGAATAAAAAAGGGGGAAGAAGAAATTAACTTGGCTAATAGGTACAAGATCAAAAAGAGGGACAAATATTCCCATGTCGTAATACACACATAAATATAACTTTTCTAGGTAGAACCCTTGAGAAGATTGGGTGAATGATGATCACGTTGTGTGAGCATGTGGAGGTGATCATATTGCCCCAGTGGAAGAGAGGGTAGAGCGAGCGATTCAGGGGAGAGGTGGAGATTTTCCCAGCTGCCGGTGGATGTAGATACTGAACTATCACATCCTATGTGTGTCACATGCTTTACATCCGTTGGGAACCCTATTTCCATATCTGCTTCCTCAGTCTCTTCCATCTCTTCCTTGTATGCTGAAAATTCATATAGAACATGAGGGAACCATGCATATATAGGCATAGAATTAATTTAGAGAATATTGTTTTTTAGTCCGAATTACATGTCTAAACATTAAAATTAATAAGGTACTGTTAATAAGTTAATATTGGGAAGAATTTCATAAAGGGCACTTTAATAAATTCATAACCCGAACTGTACAAAAAGTTACAGTCTAGACTGAAAAGCACATTTTTGTAAACTTTAATTTGGTCCTTTCTGCTGCATTTTCCTTTCCTTCAAATCCTAATTAATCAAGAATGTAAATTGTAAAATGATGAAAATGCACAAAAATTCCATTAATGGAAGGGAAAGCAAAAAGAAGGGAGGATGTTTGGCATTTATGTCTTTTTCAATCTGAACTATCACTTTTCTAACCAGTCTTAACTGAGGGAACGCATTCTCTTAATAAACATCAATATTAATCTGTTCATAATAAAAGAAAATAGAAGAAACTAGCATTAAATACGTACCGAATAATTGAGAGATTGTTTTGAAAGTCTTGAACATCCTATGAAACCTCGTTGTTATATCAGCCTTGGGAAGAGGCAGGAACTTCAATGAATACTTCATGCTTTCATCCGGCAAGCTTTCTTCGTCTTCCTCTCTACCCCCTTGAACAGATTCTAAAACAAAAACCCAAGTTAGCCTCCTCCCCAAGATGAAAAGAAAGCAAGAAAAAGAGAGAGAAATGGGGATCACGAACTTGCATCCGTTTTAGATCTTCTAGGTTGCTCCTGAACAGCCACAGCCACACTAGATGCTGAGACACAACCAACTGAGAATGGAAGAACAACAAATCTTTCCATTCTGTTTCTCATTTCTGTATCCGACACCTAATGGGAGTACACCAACTGGGAAAAAAAAATGAAAAGAAAAGGAGAAAAGATACTGAAACAGAAATTGGTTGTTTTTTTTTCTTTGGAAGGCAAACAGAAGTTAGTTGTTGAGTTGAGTAAATGGCAAAAATGCTGTGTTATAGAGGGTATAGGAGGGGGTGGCTCTGGCTTTGTTCTTAAGTTAGAATTATTTTACGTACAAAAGGTCAAGATACACATGATATTAGTTCAATCGGTTGGTAGAGAAAAGGACAGTGATACATAAAGATAATGTAGGAAATACCAAACTTATAGGTATATGTGGT